TCTCGCGGCAACCACTGCACCGGGTCGTCAAGCACCCGCGGCGGGGCCCTTCCCTTGGCCACCCCCTCCGTTTCGGTCGCTCCTGCCCCCCCCCCGCCTCCTCCTGTGCTGACCCCCACCTCCTCGCGTTCTGCCCCCGCCCCCGCCCACACCCAGAGGGTTTGAAAGGAGGTTTTTGGGGAGAGGGTTTTCCAGGAGGGGTCCCCCAGGGGCTTCGCACTCCCTGTTTTGATGAAGTTCCGAGGCCCCTGGGGGGTTCTGTGGAAAACCCCCTCCCCAAAAACCTTCTTTGGAACCCTCCGGCACACCCTCCTCATCCCCCTTCCGCTGGAGGACCAAAGCCGGCACGGAGTCCGCGCAGACATCTCGGGCCGGGGCTGGATCCTCCTGGCGACGATTCTGGCGCCCCCCAACTCCTGCATGAACTTGCGGAAGTCCGCGCGGATTCCTGGTCGACGCAAGACCACCCCTGTCCTGAGAAGTCCACGCGGACCTCCGCAAGCTCATGTTTACGCCGATGCTTGTTCCTCGATCGTCACCCTCCCCAAACCCCGCCACGCGGCAGCGCTGCAGCAACGGGCCGTGCCGACCGACCGAACGCAACCGATCGTGACGCAGCCGAGCAATCCGACACGCGGACGCCCTTGGGAGACGCCCAGCTCGAGCCCCGAGCTGGGCGCCTCCCAAGGGCGTCCGCGATTCGAGCGCACTTCACACCTGGCTGGCACGCACTCGACCCGCGCGAGTGGACGGACGCACTTGCGAGTGGAGCAGCCGGGCGGGTGGAGCCCCGCACGAGGTGAACGCGTGCCTACGGAACCCCGCGCGAGAGCTCAGCTCCGTGCGAACACGGCCAGGAACTCTTGCTCAGCATGTTGCCGCGGCGGCCCTGGTGACACGCTACACCTTGCGAGTGGATAGCGTGTCGCTCCGCTCCGCGGGGAGGGGGGGTGGGAACAGCTCGGGACTTTCGCGCTGGGGGGGCGGGAAGTGGATAGCGTGTCGCGCCGAAGCGCAGTGGGCCAGAACTGGCAAAGCGACACGCTATCCAAAACTTAGCGACCGTAGGGCTCTGTGCGTAGCACGCTGGGGCCCCTGCGTCCGCACCCGGCTGATTCCGGAAACCCAAGACCCAAACATGTTGCCGTCTCTGGTCTGGGGGCGCATCTTTTACTTCCGCCCGCCTCCGCCGGCGGAAGTGCACTCGTTCTAGTTCCGCCAACTTCCGCCGCCCTTCCGCCAGCTTCCGCCGAATAGTATCTGCCAATTCCATCAGACCTCGAAGGCAAGCCATTTCTGGAACGGCTCACCTCCTCCACAACGTTGGGTTCGAAGTTCCTCGCCTATTTTTCCTTATGAACAACTCCTCCCTGTCGCACCACGTGGCGTGTCGGTAGGGCGGGCCGGGCGTTTCGCCTGAGACCTTGTCACCATTTATGATCATGACGCTCACAAGTTGCAACAGTCTCACGCATGGAAGGCGGCTCGTTTTCAAAATGCGGCTCTAGCCTCAGCGCCGCACGCAATCCTCCGATCAAATTGCAAGTTTTCACGGATGGGTTCTCAACATGTGGCTCTCGCATTAACGCTCGTCGTAAACATGTGCGGGAACTTCACGGATACAGGGCGGTACCTTTTCAAAATGTTGGTCTCGCCTCAACGCCGCGCACATTCGTCGTAACAGTTTCCATTCGCCTGAAACATTTGCATGTTAGCGCCCCAGAAATCGCATTTTGGCACGATGTCGGGCTGTCAGGGCGCAACAGTTACGTTGATTCGCGGCGCTGCAGTCCCAAGAATTGTGTCGTGACGCAACTCAAGACCATTGATATGCAAAACTAAGAGCAACAGTCATTCGCTGCGCTGAAGTCCCACGAATGGTGTTTTGGCTCGACGCAGCAGAAAGATTGACTCGCGGCGCTGAAGTCCCAGGAGCGGTGGTTTCCCCCCCCCCCCCCCCCCGCAAAGCTACAGCTGTCAAGCAGTGGGCACTGAGCCCAGCCGAGAACGGCGACAGCGAGACCGTGGGTCTGCAGCGCGGGGCGACCCGCGCGGGCAACAAAACGCGGGGGCGTTTGTCGCACAACGGAGGGGCACAAAAAGCCCGAAAACCCAGGTGCCAGGCGGCCCAAAAGGGGAGATGCCTGGACAGAGGCCTGGAGCCTCGGCAGCTCCGTGGACCAGAGGCCGCAGCACAGATTAGTCCGAGCCTGAATCCGAGGAAACCTCGACAGGAACGCCACCAGCGGATCGGATTAGACAGTTCACGTTGGTTTGGAAACTAACAACACGCGTGAGTGGTCCGGGCGGGGTGACCAGGGGGGCCTCATCCTCTTCGAGGGTGTGGGAGCGGCGCTCTGGCACCATTCAGGATTTGAAAACGGTCGTCTTCCAGCGGGGCACGTCCCTCAGCGAAAATGAACCCTTGTAGGGGCCTGCGAAGAGGGAACTTAGAGCGAATGTTTATTACAAAATTGTTCATGTCTGTGGTTCATACTGGTCCTCCTCCTCCTCCTCCTCTTCCTCTCCTTCCTCCTCCTCACTCGTCCTACCTTTTCCTCCTCTTCTACTCCTTCCCCTTATGAGTAACTATTCCCAGTCGCACCCCGAACGCATCCACTCAGGCAAGCAAGTCCCGCCTCCGCACGCCGAAAGCATCCACCTAGCCGTTGCTAAGCGTCTGGGTGAAAGACACCGTGCCCCCGACGCGTAGGTCGTTCGTCTCGCTCCTGTCGACGTAGGCATCGCGATCAAATCACGCTGTACCCACGCGTTCTCTACGAAGCCGCAGCTGCAGCGGCGGTTGACCCACTTGACGCGCCATGGCAGCAGTTCTGGTGGCCCTGGTCGCACCTCCGATGGATATCGTATATCTGCTTGCGGCCCTTGTAACGCAGCATCAGCCGGTGGCTCTCGCAGCTCAGCCAGTGGTCCTCGTAGCCCTGCGCATGGCCCTTGCAGCCCAGCTTGTACTCTTCGTCGTTCAGCTGGTGGCCCAGGCCAGCCTGTGGACCGTACCTCCGCCAGTGGCTCTCGTAGCAGAGGGGGTGGCCCCCGTTGCTCCTCAGGTAGCTCTCGCAGCTCAGCTGGTTAGCTCTGCTTGTAGCTCCCCTAACTCAGCTGTTGGCCATCGTGGTACAGCTGGTGGTCGTCGTTGCCCTACTTGTGGCTCTCGTAGCTCAGCTCGCGGCCCTCGCAGCGCAGCTTGTGGCTCTGCCAGCTCTGCTGGTGGTTCTCGTAGCTCAGCAAATGGGCCTCGTAGCTCTGCCGGTGGCTCTCGCAGCTGTGCCTAGGTCGTCGTGGCTTGTGGTACTCGGAGATCCGCTGATGGCCCTGGTAGCTCTGCTGGTGGCTGCAGTAGCTCTGCGTGCTGCTCTCGAAGCTCAGGTTGTAGCCCTTGTAGCTTTTCAAATGGACCTGGTAGCTCTGCCAGTGGCCCTCGAAGCTCTGCTCGTGGCCCTCGCAGCTCAGCTGGTGGCCCTCGTGGCTCAGCTGGTGGTCATCGTAGCCCTACTTGTGGCTCTCGTAGCTCAGCTCGCGGGCCTCGCATCACAGCTTCTGGCTCTCGCAGCTCTGCGGGTGGCTCTCGTAGCTCAGCTGGTGGGCCTTGAAGTTCTTTTGGTGGCTTTCGTAGCTGTGCCTGCTGTCCTCGTAGCTCATCTTGTGGGCGTCGATGGTCTTCTGGTAGCCCTGGTAGCTTTGCAAGAGGCTCCCAGAGTTCTGGCTGTGGCTCGCGTAGCTCAGGTTGTGGCCTTCGCAGCTCCGCTGGTGGGCCTCGCAGCTCGGCCCGTGGTCCTCGTGACTCTGCTTGTGGCCCTCGTAGCTCAGCGCGTGGTCCTGGTCGCCCAGCTGGTGGTCCTCGTAGCTTTGCTGGTGGCCGTCGAGGCTCAGCAGGTGGCCCTCGTAGCTCCGTGTCCTCATTTTTCAGGCCGTGCTCCTCGGAGTCATCCTCCTCCTCGTTAGCGTTCTTGGTCTCCTCTTCGTCTGCCTCCTTGTGGTATGTTCCTCGTCTGGTTCCGTTGCCTCCCCGTGGTCCGAATCAGAGTCGTCGGCTGCCAGGTCGTGGTGCTCCACGCTCCAGCTGTCTGGTGGTGGTCCGCGAGGCTCAGCTTGTGGCTCCTGCAGCTCTGCTGGTGGCCCTTGTGGCTCTGCCCGCGTTCCTGCAGCTCTCCGTCTTGCCGTCGCAAGTCTGCTGGTGGCCCTCGGACCCCAGCCTGGGGCTCTCGACGCTCTGCTTCTTGCTGTCGTACCTGAGCCGGCGGCCCAATCTCGCAGGAGCATGCGCCCCGCTTGTGGCTGTATTCCTGGCCGTGCTGTTCATACTCGTCGTGCTCGCGGTCGTTGCCAGTGCCGCACGGGAAGTCGTGCAGGTCTCGGACTGGCACCTGTATGACGATGTACTCGACCTCTGGCGCAGAAGGCGTTGAAACTGTAGTTCGAGTCCTGTCTTCTGCCAATGGGTGCCTGAGCGTACATAGGGCTTCACCTCAATGCACTCCACCGTCGTATGTTCGTCTTTTCCGGCGCATGTGTGTTTGTGGTCGCACTTGCCGAGCCGCACCCACGCTTCGCATGCCTTGCGACGCCGTTGACGGGCGAGACGGCGTGCAGCTGCACGCTGGGCCGCCCAGACGTTGGGCAACGCCCCGATGCCATGGCAGCGCCCCCTGACCGCCGCCGCGGTTTTGGGGGGCTGGGCTCGGCCCGCCAAGCGCGCGGCGCACGCGAGGGTGAGTGCGGGGATGGATCCTACATGTGGCCGTCCTCCTCCTCCTCCGCCTCCTCCTCCTCCTCCTCCCTCCCCTCTCCTCCTCCTCCTCCTCCTCCTCCCTCCTCCTCCTCCTCCTCCTCCTCCTCCTCCTCCGCCTCCTCCTCCCTCCTCCTCCTCCTCCTCCTCCTCCCTCCTCCTCCTCCCTCCTCCTCGTCCTCCTCCTCCTCCTCCTCCCTCCTTCTCCTCCTCCTCCTCCCGCGCCAGGACCCTCTCTCCTCGTCGGGCGCACCTGCTGCAGCACGGCCTGCGGGCTCGGGGTGCTGCCGGCGACGTAGTATCCGGACCAGCCGCCCTGCGGCGGGCCGGGGCTGGCGAGGGGACAGCCAGCCAAGGGCCTCTCGTCGTCGTCACCTTCGAGTAGCAGCCCGGAGTCGGCAGCGACGACCATAATGACGACGACGACGGCGACGACGACGGCGACGACGACGGCGGCGGCGGTGACAAAGACGACGACGAAGACGACGACGACGACGACGACGACGACGACGACGGCGACGACGGCAGCGGCGACGACGACGACGACGACGACGCTGGCGGCGGCGGCAGCGGTGGCGACGACGACGACGGCAGTGGCGGCGGCGACAGACGACGACGACGGCAACGACGACGGACGACGACGACGACGACGACGACGACGACGAAGACGACGACGACGACGAGGGCGGCATCGGCGACGACGACGACAACGGACACGACGACAGACGACGCCGCCGCCGCCGCCGCCGACGACGACGACGACGACGACGACGACAGCGACGACGACGACGACGACGAAGACAACGACGGCGGCGACGACGAGAACGACGACGACGGCAATGGCGAGGACGACGACGACGACGACGACGGCAATGGCGACGAAGACAGTCGACGACGACGACGACGACGACAGCGGCGGCCTCGGCGGCGGCGGCGACGACGACGACGCCGACGACGGCAATAGCGACGACGACGACGACGACGGCAACGGCGACGACGACAGACAACGACGACGAAGACGACGACGACGGCAGTGGCGACCCCGACGGACGACGACGACGACGACGACGACGACGGCAATGGCGACGACGGCGACGACGACGAACGACGACGACGACGGCAATGACGACGACAACGACGACGACGACGACGACGGCGGCATCGGCGACAACGACGACGACAACGGACGACGACGGACGACGACAGACGACGACGACGCCGACGACGACGACGACGACGACGACGACGACGGCGACGACGACGACGACGAAGACAACGACCGCGGCGACGACGACGACGACGGCAATGGCGAGGACGACGACGATGACAACGGCGGCGGCGGCGACGACGACGACGGCAACGACGACGGACGACGACGACGACGACGAAGACGACGAAGACGACGACGACGACGACGACGACGGCGGCAGCGGTGGCGACGACGACGACGACGACGACGACGACGACGGCAACGACGACGGACGACGACGACGATGTCGACGACGACGGCAATGGCGACGACGACAATCGACGACGACGACGACGACAAACGACGACGACGACGACAACGACGACGACGACGACGACGACGGACGACGACGACGACGACGACGACGACGACGACGACGACGACGACGACGACGACGACGACAGCGAGGGGGGAAAGCGGGTGCGGCCTGCCCTGCATTGGGGAACGAGCAGAGACGTAGACACGAAAACTCGGAGGTCCACGCGGGACTCCTGGGATCGGCGCTTGGGCCCCCTGGCGGTGCCTCTGGCGCCGCCCCTGGCACGCTCCGCGCGCCAGGGAGAGGGGTCCAACGCCGATCCGAGAAGTCCGCGCGGACCTCCGAGTTGTTATGATCAATGCATCGTTTCGTTCACGACCGCCGTGCCCAATGTCCTCCTAATTATGGCGGTGGGAGGGGGAGGGGGAGGAGTGGGGCTGGCCAGCAGTGCGCCCCCCCGGCAGCCCTCCCAGGAGGACGAGGAGCAGGAGAAGGAGGAGCACCAGGATGGCAGGGAAGAGAAAGCGGGGGGGCAGGAGGAAAAGAGGAGGAGACGAGGGGGGGGAACGAGATGAGGAGGCGGAGGAGGAGGAGGAGGAGACGAGGGGTGGAAGGAGAAGAGGAGACGAAGAGGGGAAGGAGAGGAGGAGGAGGAGGAGGAGGAGGAGGAGGAGGAGGAGGAAGAGGAGGAAGAGGAGGCCCCTCCGAGGAGGGAGCGCCCGGAGGAGGCAGAGCGAGGCAGGGGAGAGCCCACCCGCGCCTCGCGCGCCTGCCGGAGCGCCTTCGCCCGCGGCACCAGGAAGCCGGGGTCGTCCCACTCCGGCCAGACCTGCGCTGGTGGGGCGTTGGCAGAACTGGGTTTAATGGGACATGGTTTAATGATGTGTACTGGGGGGCGCCCCCCCGCCCCGTTCCACTAACCGGAACTGCCGTCACACGAAAAAACACCAGCTACGGCAGACCTGGTTTAGTGATTCTGGCCAAATTAGGGGCTCCAGGGCCCTACCGCTAATCGGGTCCCCTTACCTGGGGTCCTGGCTATACCCGAGCTGGGCCAGCTTTTCAGAAGTTTCTTGAGGCAACGCTGGGCCCGCTTCTGGAGCCAGGAGCGTGCACTATTCCTTTCTAGGATCCAAGGCTGCCAGTCTCCTGAAGGAGCTGAGCCAGCTTTCCGGCAAGTTGGTTAAGAAACGCTGGGCCAGCTTTTCGGGGGGAGGTTTCTTCATCATAATTAAACGGGACCGTAGGTCCCGTCCCTCCCTCTGCTCTCGCCGTACGCGTGGCAGCGACGTGGCGTGCCTCGCCACGCCCGAGCTTTTGGCCAGCCACCTCTCGCCGCGCAAGCAGAGCCTGCACTGGCGGACCGAGCCCCAGACGTGCGACGTCCTGCTGTTTCAACGCGCGGTCCCCAGCAGCCCCGACCCTGGCCGCGGGACCGGCTTCTCATCCTGCGTCGGCTTTTGACCGCCGCGGGGCCCGTCGAAGGCCTCGAGAGAACCAAAAAAACGACGGAACACCTCCGTCCTGACCTTTTCACGACGCGATCGTGTCTGGGAAGGAGGAGGAGGAGGAGGAGGAGGAGGAGGAGGAGGAGGAGGAGGAGGAGGAGGAGGAGGAGGAGGAGGAGGAGCAGGAGGAGCAGGGGGAGCAGGGGGAGCGGAGCAGGCTCGGCGCACTCGACTGGGCCCTCGATCCCGCGAGCGCTCCGCGCCCGGCCGGGGTCGGGGGCGGTGCGCGCCGACGACGCACCCGCGGGCCGCCGCGGTGCATCCGCGGGACCGGCATGGGCGCCGGCAGCGCCCGTGGCGGTTCCGAGGAGGCCGCCCGCGGGGGGTGGCGCCTTCCGTATAGCGGGGCAGCCGCGGCGGGAGGCCTCCGCTGGGGGTGCGCTGCTGTGGGCCACCGGGGGCGCGCAGGTCGCAGGAAGGGGGGGGGGCTGCGCACGGAAGCTGCCACGTGCAGCTGCTCGCGGCCCCGCCACCGGGCGCCGTGCGATCCAGCAGCGCCTCCAGCGCCGAGAAAAACAGCCGCATGCAATGGGTTTGCCAACCCCCCCTTCGCTGTAGCCCCCCAGCTCGTCCGACCCGCGAGGAGGTGGGCATGAAGCGACCTGTTGGAGTCGCGCTCTGTTGGAACCCTGGAGTCCAACGCCGCGAGCACAAAAAATCGCGGTCAATCCGCCGACCCTGTCGGCGTGCGTGAGGGGCTTGTCCATTCGAGTCGTTGTCTCAGTCATTCGTTAGTCGTCGCCTCTGTCGCCCCCTTTCCCTGCGCCCCCCCCCCCGTTCCCCTGGGCCCATCGCCGCTCCCCCCTCCACTTTCCCTGGGCCCTCCTCCTCGAGCGCCAGAGCCCCGGACCCCATCGTTCCGCGGGACCTCTCGAGCCAGGCCGATCCGTGAGGGCTCCGGGGCCAGCCACGTCAGGGAGGCAGCGCCCGCCGCGCACAGAGAGCACGACGCCCATAGATCTCAGGGGCCGTCTGGCCCGCGCGGCGGGGCCGCCTCTCTCTCCGGGACCAGCTTCCTGCATCCCGAGTATCTCAGCAGCCCTCTGGGCGTAGGTGGTCTAGAGGTGCTCCTCTTCCAACCCCCTTCCTCCACTTCGGGGAGGGGCTTATCACTGTCCCTTATTCTACACTTATCACAGTCCCTTATTCTACACCCCCTTCCTCCAGGCGACCGGCGTCCAAGCAGGAAGCATGAGGTCACCATGGCGATCGGCCCCCCACCATCCCTGTCAAAAACAATACAAACCGCACTCTGCCTCCACATTCGGAGCATGCGCGGCCAACCCGATGCACCCCCCCCCCACCCCATCCCTGTCAAAAAGCAATACACAGTACCTTCGGGACAAAGTCTTGAATCATGTTTGTGAAGCCCACGAGCACTTTGTATTGTTTTTGAAAAGGACGGCGGGGGTGTCAGCATATTCCCTGCTGCGCGCAGGGCTACCATCCCTGACAAAACAAAACAATAAAACGTGCACCTCGCGGCTAAGTCTGGATCATGCGCGGCCATCCCGCGATCACTGTCCAATGGTTTTTGACAGGGACCGCGGGGGTGGTGGCGCGTGGCCTGCCGTGCGCAGGCCCACCAGACACAATGATGGGCATTGGTTTGCGACAAGGATGGTGGGGGCCGACATGTTTCCCGATGTGTGCTGTCACGTGCGCAGGCGCACCCGACGTACTCTGCACGTGCCCCGAACGTGGCGCACCTGGCGCGGCTGGAGTGTGCGGCACACCTGACGCACTCGGAGCACGTGGCGCATCTGGCGCACCAGGCGTGCCTGGCGCGCGTGGCGCCCCTGGCACGCGTGGCGCACCTCGCCCAAGCGTCCCGTACCTGGGGTCGGCTTTGGTTCCCAGTAGCTGTCCATCCAAAGACGACCGCTGAACATGCTCAGGCTCGGGCGTTACTTCTGTGTTGGGAGGGCGGGTGGGAGTGAGCTAGACGGCTTGCGGGCGGGTGTGTAGCTTGACCCCTCCTCCTACCCCGCCCCCCCGAGTTCCAGGACGACGACGAGCAGCGGGTCCCGCTCTGGGACAGGCCGAAGCCGGGCCACCCCGGGGAGACAGAGCGCGCCGTGCTCGACC